AGCAGGCGGACCCTTAGAGTTTCTTCTCTTTGGATCCTCCCCTGCTAGGTCGGTCCCTCCGTGTATTTCCCGTAGCTTTTATTCACGCTTTGGATCCTCCCCTGCTAGGCTTTCGTCGGAGTCTCCAGGGTTGCCCTTACAATCAGGTGTGTGCGGCGTGTGGCCGGGACAGGAAGTAACTTTTGTAGGTCCGTTCAGTCGGTATTCTCGATACGATGGGTGTGAAAAAGGACGGTGATTCTCTTATATTAGCAGTTGACTACAGATTATTTATAGTTGTTAAATATTTATGTGACAAGTTATAAAATATATTCAGAACTAGTATTTGATTACTCATAATAATTCATTCCCACAAAATCACTGATAAGCCTCAATGTATCTGACTTGCACTTGAAAAATGTGAAAAAGTCTGAAATTTGTCAACTTTATTCATCCCTTTAACAATGGATTATTCATTTCTATGGGAACCATGCAAATTTGCTTGGGTACGCAGTGTTACCCCGCCGGGCCAACACTGTGAATTGACAATCATATTTGGGACAAACAGGTGTGGATATGCTTGGCCTCCCCACGCTTTTGTGGTAAGTTTCCACCCTATTGTCTTGTTTTCTGGTACCTAATTGTTCTCCAGGTTTAAATATGCTATTGCAGAGCAGACTATTCATCGTCAAGATGGATCATCACTACTATCACCACCGGTCTCCTGCTTCCGCCTCTCGCCCCGTCTCTGGCGCAGCTTCGAATATGCCTCTCCATTACACTCCTGTCTCAGCAGCAGAGGCGTTCGACAGCGTCCAATCTTTACTCCCTCCAAAGCTGACTCTCCATACTATGGCAAGGCAAACTCGACACGAGAATGAAGCTCTTCTCAATGACGCATTACAACGTATTCGCGCCACTCACCGCGATTTGGACATGCAACACGCTCCTAACGACGACATGCGCGACTTGAAACGGTCCCTCGAAACAGCGACTTCGACTGTTCTACAAACAGGAAGGCTATTAGCGAGCATCAAACCGCCCAGTACTGGAAAGGCCAGAACAGGCTTCTCTGTCCAAGAGAATGAAACCTTCAAAGCATTGTTACAAATGGTTAAAGACGAAGCCAGTGTATTGGACTCATTGGTTGACGTAGTCGGTCGTTTGGTCCCCAAATCTGTCGTTACGGACAAAGTCCAATACGATTCTGGTACGTTATCTTATATCTGATACAATCCACCACAGAGCATCATTTGACCAATCCTATTGGCAATTACGATACCGTGGCCCAAGTCATGATTATCTTGGCTGTAATCTGCCATGTCATTGTTGGAATCAGCACCAACCCCTGCGACCTCATCCTTAAATTTGTCTCCGCCATCATCCAGCTCGCAATGTCGATTGGAACCGAAGATGAGCTCAGTCAATGGCAAGAAGATGTTCTCAAGCAGTTACCAACCAGTTTGGAGACCGCACTACACAAATTCAAAATCAACTCCAAGACTATCCTATACGCCACATGTCCGTCTTGCCATTGCATGCGCCTACACAAGACCGACTCACTGGAGACCCAATATATTCAAAAACTTGTGTCAACTACGTTTATCCGCAGTGTGGTCTGGCTAGGGTGTGTGGCAAGCCAATCCTTGAAATGAGACAAGGAAAGCTTTGCCACATCAAGCCCTTCGTCTATGCACCCTTCTTGGATTATTTAGCAGCCACGCTCTCCGATCCCAAAGTCGGAACTATGTGTCAAAACGCCTGCGACAAAGCTTTTGATATTGTGTCAAACAATCCCGACGCGCCCAGATCAGCGGAGTCAGTAAACAATGTGTTTTACTACTCTCAAATTAATTACATAATCCGTGATGATGTGACTTCATCCACTGATCCGGTTCTAGAATGTTCTAGTTCAGGCTTCTGGAAGGTTTTAATATCCTGGGTCAGACTTGCCAAATATGGACATGTTACCCTTGGTTTGGTTTAGAGTCTAGACCAGTCCCTGGCCTAGAGCAGGCCTATCCCTTGTAGCCAAGGTGCATATAGATTTGATTCGAAGATTTACAACATTTATTCTGAGATTCTCCTTATGTTACATTGCTCTTGTGCATGAAAATGAATTTATGGGGTCCTACCAAGATTGGGTAGCCATATTTAGCAGGGGTGCCCACTATTTGCTCAAGTCCCTCTAATTAGAGGATAATAGGCGATAGGTGCAGCTACATTGCTCCATCAGATAGAAAGGCTACAACACCTCACACGACTAGTGGGTTTGCTTCGACCGTGTCTTCGCCCTGGACAAAGTTGCAGAGTTCTACCGTAAGTACCCTAGCAAACCACAATACATTGGCCCCGCAACCTTTGACACAATCCCTTTCTGGTCTATGTGTCAGGACGCCACATTCAAAGGGGGGGTGATGTTAGGGGGACCTTTCAGCCACCCAATTTTTGAATACCAAATTAAATGAATTGATACAGGATTTACAGTACTCTTTCAATGTGTGGTCTTTATATCACCAGAGAAGTGCAGTGCTAGGGCCATTACATCAAGTTCCTCTTCAGTCAAACCTTTCCCACTCTCTGCCTTTTCCCTATGGGAGCTAAGTGCTGAGATCAATTTATGCTGCACATATAGGGGCAATGCCCGCCATCTCCATTGTCCCTGGTTTTGATTTAGCCCCATAAAGTCAAGCTGCATTTTGCCATATGCATTGGTTGTATGCAGGATTTCATTTGAGTAGTATCCACGAAGCTCTACAGGGAGGGTGTCCATTGATGCAATGCTGAGAACACACAGCCCACTTTTGAAGTCAAAGAGCAAGAATGAAATATCAGTATGACCTGGGGGCCGCACTGCATCAAACTTGGCTTGCAAATTCCCAATCTCGTCTGCTCGTTGTTGGTATTCATAATTGAGCAGTGCACGAAGATATCTGTGGATTTTCCTTACTGAACCTGCATATTCATCTGGTAGCTTGGATGTCAGTGAAGAAAAGATATTCAGATAAAATAGCCATACATTCCTTTCGCCGGGCAAAAATCATTTTGCACTGTTGTTGATGACTGGGATTTGCTTTCCAGTCTTCCTTTTGACATTTGCGAGAGCAGTAGGTAGTTGTTTGACACCCTGCACAATATTTGACCTCGTATTGACCTTTGATCCGGTCCATACACTACAGAAGTTGATGAGTTGAGCAATTTAAAGTAACAAGTCAACTGTCACATGCCTGGGCATTATCGCAGCCCCCGTGCAAAGTCAGCTCCTTCATGTGTTCCAGGACACTGATACGTTGCTGTACAAGCTGGATAAAGCTATTCCACACTGGAATGAGACTGTGAAAGTGGAACCGTTTAGCTGCATCCATAGAGGTGACTGCCTTGATTGACTTCTGTAGTTGTGCCACTACAGGATGGTAGACTGTCAAGGAGGGCAAGATAGAGCCAATTGTCTCCTCAAGTGCTGGACCGAGCTGTGCCTTGAATGCTGCACTCCCACTGGAGAATGAGGCGAACTCAAACACTCCAACTAGGAAGTCAAAACGGAGGACTTGAGGGAAAAGCTTTGGTGCATCGGGACCCCCGATCAGGGGAATCAAAGTTGTAAAACAAGTCATGATAATCACATCATAATCAGCAGCATGGCGGCTTTGGAGCAGGGACACAAATATGCGTGTCATTGGGACGAGAGCACCATTATTGATTAGACTGTCACCCAAAGCTGCAGCTTCAGCATTGAATGGTAGCTCCAAAGTGTTTTGCTTGTCCATCACAGGTGCTATGAACAAAATAGCCCGTAGCCGCCAAAGAAGAGAGCAGTAGCCTGAGCGCGAAGATTCTATTGGCATCTTTGCAGCCTGTTCAAGATGACCTATAATGAGTGCTGCAACATCATCCCAGGTACCTCCGGCTCCTTCACGGAGCTGTAGCAGATCAAGAGCATCAGCCTTCTTGATCGGATTGACATTGCACCGGATAAATTCGAGAATAGTAGAAATGTTGTCTATCGCTGCACTGTCCTTTGCTTGGAGCATTGGGCCCCATGATACCCCAACAAAGTTACACAGGTCAGCAGTCGACAGCATTGCAGCACGAATGCCAGGGAATAGCTCTCGTTGATCGCCCTGAGTCAGCACCGAAAGCAGCGACAAATAGCGGCGAATGATGTCATCTCGCCCTTCCCCGAGAGTAAGAAGTGTATGCCGATCCATATGAGTCTGAATCCATGCCCAGACACGGGGCCACATCTCGCTCAACACTGCGTCAGGAATCAGCTTGTGCTTGTATCGGACGAGAAGCATCCTGAAGCCCTCTAGCGCAATGACCGCAAGGCGGAATGTGGGGTCATCGTCCTTTGGCTCATTTGAGATCAAGTTGATAGGTGCTGGATCCAGAGCCGTGTAAAGACCAGGTAGGAAAGGGAGGGACTGTGAGACAGGCCTGGCGCGAATAAGCTCTATGATCTCTTGGAAACTCCTTATCCGATCTGCTCCCTGGAGTGCTCCGAGTGCATTCTTGGCGAGTTTCTCCGATGAAAAGATCAATCAGCCCTCATATTAAGCATCCCAATCTAGCTTACTTGAAGGCGCGGTGGTAGTTCTTTGAGTCTCGTTTCTCTGAGATACTCGTGAATCATTGAGGTGAGCGAGTTTCGGTATAGATGACTGTTAGAAGTCAAGAAGCAAAAAAAAATGGCCGAGGACCGTGACAGGCAGGTGATGTTCCCAAAGTGGTAATCGGTTCACATGCACTCATTTCCCGCGACCTGCGGCATTCGCCGCTGGGCAAGAGAGAACTGAAACGCATGATTGTCCCTGGATAGGAAATACAGACTCAAACGCGGTCAAGGGTCCCAACAAGTTCATTCAACTTTTCACCGCCCAACACACTGTCGTCTGAAGCCTCTGGTGACTCTCCAGATACAGCAGCGTACTTGCGTCGATGGAACGTCCTGAGGTCGTAATACTCTCGTCGGAGTTCTGGTAACCTGTGCCTGAGTAATCCAAGAAAAATACCACTATTTCTCAAACATGCACCCTAACCCGCTCTGCAAACCGCCTCTGGACCATGACCGGCGCTGGCCCGGGCAGCCTGCGCTTCTTGTTCCACTCCGCATCGCGATACGGCGCGCTGCCCACATTCTCGTCGTAAGAATCGCGGTCCTCGTATGCGGCCCACAACGGGCCAGCCTCGGAGCGCGCGGGGGAGACCGGGTCGAGCGGGAGGTTGGCGGGCGGGCTGGCCTCGGGCGGGAGCAGGTTGAATGAGCGCAGGGAGGGCGGGACCCAGCGCGAAGGCGACGGGGGACGACGACGGCGTTTGGGCGTGCGTTTAGTCGTGCTGTCGCTCTTGCCCGTCTTGAGCGCGGCTTCCACTTGTGCGATGCTCTCCATGCTCTTCCCCTTGGTCCCGTAGAGATGCACCTCCCGCTGCGAGCAGCGCCGGATGTGCCGGTTGAGGTTGGACATCACCCCGAAACGCCGCTGGCAGAGGGAGCATTGAAACGCTTCAACAGATGAGTATGGGATGAACCGACTAGAGAGCGTCACCTTTCTCGCCGGTATGGACAAGCAAGTGCTGATGTAGAATGAAATATATTACGCTCCATGTAAGTAGTACTTACCTTCTTAAGAGTGCTTGGTCGGTCAAAGCTTTACGAGAGGATTAGCACACGATCTAATCAATTGGCAATCGCACCGTTTATGGCACATCGTGCAACCATGACGCTTCTCTCTCCCGTCCCTGAAAAGCTCCTCCTCATCTTCAGGCTGGATCATACCGTACTCATAATCCGGTTGGTCTTCATCGTCGATTGGTAAACTCGGCAACGGCTGCTCCTGGAGCGCCGCAGGGTCGTGCAGCAAAACGGCCATCTGACTGGCGTTAGACAGAAGCTGAGGTTGCGGCGCAGCGACCACGCCTGTGCTTTTATACTGGTGGTCAGCTGCGACGTTCCATTGGGACATATCCCCGCCAGTGGCGTCGCAGACTGGGAAGCCCATCGCGGCTGCAGAGCGCGCGGGGCCACTTGACGCCGAGGAGGCCGCATATCGCAGCTGGCGTTCTAGACCCGGGGTGCGGGCCGGCCGGAAGTACGGCCCGCCGTAGAGCGATATCGATGGCGACGGAGCGCGGGTGACGCTGCCAGTGAGCGCCGCGGGGTTGGGGTGGAAGGGTTCAAGGGGAGATATTGCTACCGTGCTGCAACTGGGCACATCGCTGTGCTGCCTCGCGACAGCCGCCATCGATGGCGGGCCAACATCGGAGTCAGCCCGTTGGTCGTAATAGGCTTGCGGGAAAGCGTAGTGCTGCTCGGAAAGATCTGCAGGAGACGAACCCGCCAGGTTGGCGGTGGATCCAGTGGGGAATGCATTGAAATCATCGTAGTAGTCGTATTGCGCCCAGCCAGTGCTACTGTAGTGCGGGCCAGGCATTCCAGGAAGAGCCAGAGCCGGATGGTAATGGCGCGCCATATGTTGTACTCCTCACAGGCGAAGACAAGCGACACGCGCGAGAGGCGATGAGGCCACGGCGTTATATATTCCAGGGCCCTTGTTCTCCCGTCGTCTTCTGCGCTGCCTGCCTGTGGATTGTGACGTCGGAAGAACGCAAGCTGGGAAAGACACAGGAAAAGGGCTAGGCCCTTCCCCCCTCTCAATGGCGCTTCGCTCCGAAAACGGCGCAACCCCATTCTCGATCCCCTGCGTTCGGTTCTAAAAAGATCGGCCATGAGCTTAATGCGGGCACAGGAATGTAACCCACTCGTGGCTCGACGCTGACACACGTTTGCTGATCCAGTGCGAGCTTGAGCTCAGTGCTTCTCGTGGTTTCGGCGAGAGGACGGAGGGCGTCGAGAGCCCGTATTTCGTGGTGCTCGTCGTTCCAGACGGAGAGACGCAAGCCATTGGCAGCCTCTGTGAGCGAGAGAAAATGAAAAACACGCGGCTGCCCACGCGGTGATGGTGAGAACCGACGAAAGAACAGAGCGTAGATCGCCTGGATGCGGCAAAATGCCTAATTAAGTGGCCTCACCCGACCTGCCTGATAAATCAATAGCGCGAAAACCCGATTCCAACCGAACACTGCACCTGGACTAACGCCTTCAGGTTCCGATACTGGGAAATGAACGGCATTATTACGTCGACACGTCTGGGGTTTTGTGCGGCGCACGATAAGCACCCTCGTAGGACACGGACCTATTACGAGCTGAGTATGCGACTTTCCGGCAGGGAATGTGGCCCGGCCATTGGGCGGAAAACCAGATTGAGCATTCGTGATGCTGTTGGGATGCGTTTTCGAAATTTCGTCTGTGACGTCATGACATTTCCACGTAAGAAAGCGGCCGTTCGTCTCCAAATCGCTTCGTTTAATGTGTCTGCCGAAGAGGAATAGGTTAATTCGCTGAACGCCGTGTCGGAAACGACCCGGAAATAAGATGACAGCAGCCGATATCGTTGACGAGACATTGGGCGACTGATTGACTCCGTTTTAAGCTCGATTACATGTAGCTACGCGCCACAGACTAGTGTTTCGTCTACCTGATGACCCTCATGAGTTACCTGCGACAAGTATTATGTATTGATACCTTACCTATGTGTCCGTCGTTTTACCGAGGTATCGCTGCCCGTTCGTCTATGGGAGGATTCAGCGGTTTATTTATGACAAGTGGGTACTATGCCTTGTATCCGCAAGGTGATGGTCACTATTCTGCAGTGTCCTGTTCTTCCGACTGCTCACTTCGATCCTCGACCCGGCGTATGATCTCTCGCAAGTGAGCCAACTGCTCCGAGCCCATCTTCTCAATGAAGCGCAGGTACGTCGCCGGGAGCGTGATGGGGTCGTCATCTGACGGGGACAGCACCAGGCGGGCCCACCAATACTTGCGAATGGCGGTCTGGCGCGGGCTGAGTGCAAGGCCATGGGGAATCCACACGGATTCGGCGCTACACGGATCGCCGACAAGGACCCACTCTTCCGTGAGGTGAAGCTGACACAGCCGCAGTGTCGAGCATAAGCCACCCCACCGGCGGACAGCTTTCAGCTCGTGTACGAACTCTGCGTAGTTGTCTGCCACAACAGTTTCGTCGACTTGTTCAATGTCTTCGACATCAGGAACCTCAGGCGTTAACAGTCCAGAGATGTGCAAAATCTGCAAGGCAGGTAAGTGGACGATGGCGGTGTCGACGGCGCTGAAGAACGCCTGAAATGTGTCAAGCTAAAGCAGGAGTGGCAGAGCAAGGGAGACTGCGTACATCACGATCGGCGAAAGAGCCCGGCGTCCGGATAGTAAACGTGAGGTTAGTGAGTTGCGATAGGTGGAGCGGCAGGATGGATAAAACAATGGTGTGGTAAGTGGGTATGTCGTTGCAGATACTAGAGAGATCACCCTCGGCCTGCGAGGCTGAAATAAATGTGTGCTCGATGATTTGTCGGTTTAGAGTCGCCGCTTGGTCCCAATGAATCTGTAGAGAGCGAACCTGCGAGCCGGGTAGCACGGCCCTTGCTAACGACGGTGTGCCGACAAAATGACGCAGCGACGCCATGGTGAAAGGAGTTGTGCTATCTTCCATTTCGACTTGAGGTGTGTTTTTCAACGGGACGATACAGATGTCCACAACATGGGGGTTGACGCGAACGAACCGGGTGGTTGCACGACAACTCGGAAGGCTGCACTTCTCGAGCTGCGGAAAGTGGATATCGGAAATGAAAGAAATGAGGCCAATATGGGGGCGATAGAGGCAGAGCATCCTCAGCGAGTGGAGGTTGCGAAACGCTTTACGCAGGAGTTGTCCAAAAGCCATGAAGACGTCCATCACCGGTCGACCGAAGCTGCTGCAAGATATCATGAGGGATAGTTGTAGAGCTATGGGGCATCACGCACATTATGACCGTCTGAACAAATAACGCTAGGCTTGGGTTTCGTTCCACCGTCCGGAGCCACTGAATGAGTTTTCGTCGCGACAAGATGCCCACCGCCCGGTAGAGGCGACGGGAACAGACCGCGTTGAATCTCTTGCTGACCAGGCTTGGCGCCAGAAGCTCTTTGGTGTTATTGTTCCCCACTTCGGCGCATATCGCGTCCACGAGCTCGATGGGCAGGGTGCTGATGACCGCCATGAAAAAAAGAGGGTCACACGAATTTGTCATCGTGATGCCTGTGATCCCGACCCACGCTGTCGCGCCACTCCTTTTTCTCTTTCCACTATGGGCGAGCCACGGCTTCCTCCCGACATTGAGTGCGAGATTTTTGAAACAACGGCGCCGATGTATACTCCACTGCTTAGAGTTGCCCACCGCGTTCATGCTTGCAATTGGTGCACCGGCTCCACTCAGCCTGTAGGGTCTGTCACGGTCAACCCGGGTACGACCCGGGTCATTACCTGCGGGTAATTGGCGTTGGAGGCCGTGACCGTACCCGCCCTGGCATCCAGGAACGGGTAAATTCGAATGTTGGCTGGTGAGCTTCCCAGGGTCTCAGAACACCTGTACACAGGGTTTTTTTTTTTAAAAAAAAAAGCCTTGTCATTACCAGAGTTAATATTTTCTAGAAATGCCTCCAATTTATTGCCGAAGCCAAAAGGCGGGTCTTATATAGGGAAATGAGAGATCAAAAAAAGGTTTAAAAAGTTGAAAGGCCATGTCAGAGTGGGCAGTGTAGTATACTGGCGCTGTTATATCCCGTGCATCTTCGGATGCTCCGAGGTTATCCTTGGAGGGCAACAGGGTTTTTATGTGATGAAGGTATCTGAGCGTTTCCCTTCAAACAGTCAATCTGCACGCAGACTCTCTCAGACCTGTTCGGACCCTCCACCCATCAACACGGATCTTTGCCCATTTGGACTTTGGTTTGTTTACTTGTATCCTTTAGGTGTTCGCCTTGTTTCTTTGCCTTGTGTATGTCTTCTTGTTCCCCTTACTTACTATGCCTTTGTACTTATCCCGCAGGGAGATCCTGTGGACCTCATCGGATCTCCCTGCGAGGTCATATGCCTTATGCTTACCACTTAGTATAAATACTCATACTCTACACTTCTGTACTTCAGTTTTGTTATTAACGTTTCTTGCCTCGCTCTCTGCTCTCGTACGACTCCTCCCCGCGTTCTAAGCCTTATCGCCTTTGGCTTTTCCGAATGTATCCGCAGGAGTTCACGTATTTGTTCCGACTTGCTTTCGGCCTGCAAGATGTGTAGTCGCTCACTCTGATATAGTGTTGTGATAGCCACTCAGTTTTGCTTCGGACTTTCCTTTGGTTCTTGCACAGCACTTAACAGGCACACTACTTGAAGGAGTTCAAGGAGGTCTTCAAAAAAAGGACTTGGACAAACTCCCGGAACGGAGGGAATGGGATCATACTATCATGCTGCACCCAGATGCCAAGCCCGTCAAAGGGCATTGCATTACCCTGTCAGGGGAAGAACAAAAAGAGCTTGATGCATTTATCAAGGAACACTTGGCGACTGGGCGGATTTCACCCTCGAAGTTTCTGTATGTGTTGCTGTTCTTCTTTGTCAAGAAGAAGGACGGGAAGCTGCAGCCTGTACAAGACTACCGAAAACTGAATGAGATCACTATCAAGAACTGATCCCCGATACCGCTAATCAGTGATGAATGAACTATTCTCTAACCTAATTTCCCAGGGTCGTTTGATTGTGTACCTAGATGACATCCGCATCTGTCAGGGGAACCTCCCTTTTGGCCCGGAGACGCGCCCGATTCCGGTCCGACTCCGGTTCCGACTCCGGTCCGGCCCTCCATCTCGCCCGCACAATCACCGATCCGTCAACGCCCTCCCGACGGTCGCCCTGGGACCTCGCCTGCGACGCCCCCCCAAGCCTTCTGTGCCCGACAGCGGCAGCTACGGACAAGCAGTATATAGTCAGCTACCTAGCAGGCGGACCCTTAGAGTTTCTTCTCTTTGGATCCTCCCCTGCTAGGTCAGCTTCATTTGTATTCGCTTACCAATGTTCACGCTTTGGATCCTCCCCTGCTAGACCTTGATCTCAGGCCTCCGGGGTTGCCCTTACAGCATCTACTCCAGCGACCTCTCCGAACATCGAGCAACGGTGAAGGAGGTCTTACGGATCCTGAGGTACAATCAACTATATCTGAAACCGGACAAAAAATCACAATTGGGACACGATGTCCCAATCGTGGGACACCCGGGTTGGCACTGAACGCTTGAACTCACGACATGCGATTACTGGTGGCCATTGATACAGGCTGACTGCCGGGCCTATGTGCAGGCCTGTCCGCTATGCCAATCGATCTGATTGTCCAACTACCCAAATCCTCTAGGTACAACACCATCCTCATGATCGTCGATCAGCTGGGCAAAGGGATCCGCGTACTTCCGTGCACAGGAAATATCTCCAGGGAAGGAGTAGCTCGGTTATATCACGATCACTTTTGGAAGGACTATGGGTTCCCAGAGAAAGTAACGAGCAGCAGGGGCCAGTTCATCGGACATTTTATGAGCGACTTGAGTAAACTGTTGGGGATCAAGATTCGAGCCTCATGGGCTTACCACCCCGCAGATGGACCGGCAGACAGAACACGCCAACATGGAGGTCGAGCAGTACCTTTGGACATTCTGCAATGCCCAGCAGAGCGATTGGTCCGACTAGCTCTCCCTTGCTGAATTCGCATTTCACAACAAAGTGAACTCCTCTACAGGGTTCTCACCCTTCTTCCTAATGCTGGGGTTCCACCCGAGAAAGGTGTCCGAGGCGCCACAAGAGATGCCAACAGAAGCCGCAACAGTGTTTGCTGACCAAATAAAGGAAGTGCAGGCCAATGCGGCCAAGGCTATGAGGGAAGCGCAAGAGTCAATGAAAAAGTACTATGATTGCAAACACACCCCCGACCCGAACTACTCCGCAGGCAATAAAGTGTACCTACAAGGAACGAACCTAACCAGCGATTGCCCCTTGAAAAAACTTGATGACAAAAGATTCGGTCCTTTCGAAGTCAAGCAGAAGGTCGGCAACACCTCGTACGAATTGATCATACCCCCGACGTGGCATGTTAGCCCTGTATTCCACACTGTGCTCTTATGACCCTGGAACATGCCAGTCTCCTCAAAAACCCATTCTTCCAACCCCTTCCCTTCACCCCCTACGGGCCCTACGCAGCACCCATCCGATCCGCCCTGGGACCTGGCGCCCGTTCGATCCATCCCTAATATCCTAGCATAGAAAACTCGTACTTACAGGATGTAGTCGCTAGGCTAATATTGTCTATTCTCCAGGCTAAAACCCCATCTTTCGTGCTCCTCAGATCCACTCAAAGTCAGACCACCTGATGACTCAATACGGCCCAAGCCCGATGCTGACACCCTGGGACCTGGCCTGCGACACTGCGAGAGAGCCTTCTGTGGCCAACAGTGGCAGCTACAGACAAGCAGTATATAATCAGCTACCTAGCAAGTGGATCCCTTGAGTTTCTTCACTTTGGATCCTCCCCTGCTAGGACCTTGATCTTAGGTCCAAGAGAGTCTGTGTGCAGATTAACTATTCAAAGGGAAACACTAAGATACCTTCATCATGTCAACCCCTGATGTGCTCCAAGGATAACCGCGAAGCATCCAAAGATGCACGGGATATAACACCTTTGGAATATCCTGTTGCTCATGGGGGTAGATGATGTCAAATACTGAATCCAAATCGGGATTTTCCTGGACTGGGCTTTGCCTGGTCCAAAATTCAAATTGGCATTTTCATCTCCGAGTCAAATGTGACACCATTTTTGGCATTCAAATTGAGTAAAATACTACGGTACTGCATATATACCTGACATGATGTTTTATTATTATTGAGACTCTGCTATTTCCTGACGCTGGACGAGATAGGTCATTTCTTTGACCGTAAGTTTTAGTTTGCAACACCAAAAGGAGTTCAACTTACCAGGTATTATACCGAGGTTTTTCTGCAAAAGGAACTCCTCTGCGACAACCCAATAGCTCTCGTCCCTGTGGCCCCGCCACCCCGTCGGCCCACGCAACAGCCGTCCGGCTGGCGGTCGGCGTTGTTTTTCGCGCGGTGATCACCAGTCGCCGATCGTTCACATTAGCGGGACGGGACAGCGCCTTCCGCGTCGCGGCCGCCCAGTTTGCCTCAAGAATTACCAGTACTCGCAGATGGGAACAGCCATCCAGAAGGAGCTGGATCCACGTCCACGCCACGGTGTTCCGGAGCGCTAGATGCGTCAGTTGGGGGAGGGCCGTGTAAAACGTCGTGACGGCAGCATCGAACTCCGCGGTTGCTGGATCGAGGAGCTCCAGATGCGTAAGCAGCGCGAAGCACGGGAGCGCTGCCGCCGTGTGTAACGCCGCGGGCTCCTTGAATATCCCGTTGGCGTAGATCACGAGCCGCCGGATGTGCCGCAGCTCGGCAAATACGGCGCCGAGTTCGCCGGCATAGCCACTTTCGCCTAGGGCGATCCAACGCGCGCCAGAACACACCGCAAGGATCGCCGCCGGCGCGGTCCGGTACATCAGGAAAATGACAACATCTTAGACCCATCTTATAAAAGATCTTAGAATGTCTTAGAATATCTCATTGATCTTAGAGATATTTTGCAACTTTTATAAGATCTTATAATGTCTTACACATCTTAAAGTGTCTTATGCCACATCTTAAAAAAGAGTTGTAAGATTTTCTGACTACTTGAAAAGCTATATAAAGACTCTGTAAGATCTTATATATCTTACACATCTTGAACTGTCTTATCCCACATCTTAAAAACAAACTTGTATAATCTTTTTGCTATTTGAACAGCTATGTAAAGAGTCTATATAGTTATACAGTATCACTGTAGAACAATAACCAGTAGGACTTCAGTAGCAGTGCATATATGATTTTCTTATATCCATGGCATCTGATCAGTTCTAGGAAAGGAGTTTAATACAGGGATTAAAATGTCAATCAAGCCTGCTAAGTATCCCAGTACAATGTACAAAACTTCAGACCCTCACAAAATCCACTAAGTCTCGAGCCGGGAGTGATGACACATTCAGGCTGACGAAGCGGTCGGATGACTGCCACAATCAGTCCGTAACATCACGGAGAACTCCTCCGCTGTGACTGATTCCGCGTCACTCTTTTTTCTCTTCCTCCCCATCTCCCTTCCCGCAGAACCCTCGTTCACCACGCCCTCTGCAATAGCGTTCAATCCGGCCGCCCGAACACCCCCGTGAACCTCACCCACCCACTTTGTGGTGCAGATACCCAGCTAGCCACCCACATGCTGCATCCTCAGCCGCCCATCCGCTCCGCCCTCAAGCTTTCGACGCACGCAGCATTTGTGTGTTTTGTTTCAGCTCTCTGCCATCATCCCGCTAACCCTCCCCCCAAAAGAAACCTCCACGATGCGTCTTGCGACTGCCACCACGCTCCTCGCTGGTGCCCCTTGAGCTCGCAAAACCAGGTCTGTCTCGCCCGTCTTGCTCTCGGCGTGGATACGAGCACCCCCGGCGGAATATTTCAGTTCATGCCAAGCAACCTCACCGCCGTTCAAGGGCGGTTTCGACTCAGACAGGGTCTCGTCATGCTGTGGCGGAATACCATCCATCTGGACCTGTTTGATGCGCCGGCTGACGTGGCAGAAGGGCCGTTAGAGCTCTAATGCCCAACCAACGCCTCAACTAGGGCTGGGTCGATCGCGAACACGAGCACGCTCCTCATGTGGCAGCTCACCAACAACAACGTGCGTTGCTCCTCTCTTCCTTCCTTCTAGACTGACAAAAAATATTATGTAGCAATCTGTTTCTACAGCAAGCAACAGCTCGCCGCACTGCAACACGAACATGGTCGGGCGGGATCAACATCAAGCCCGGCCCGAACAGCCTCGCCGCGTTTATAGCCGCCACGCAGAAGGCCCTGCCCGATGTACTACTCACCGTCTCTTGTTGTATTTCCAGCTAACATATGCGACAGATGCACGAAGGTGGGCTCGTCGGCCGCCTCCTCCTCGTTGCCCACCATCGATGGCGGTGCGACACTCTTCATGACCGACAGCGCGACCGCTGGCCCTGCAAATCCAAGTGACCCAGTCCTGGCTGACCCGGTCATTTCTCGCGATGCACTCGGCGGAAGGTCGGCACGTTCGCGTTTGGGTGCTGCGACGAGCCCTAGTGAAGCGAGGGTGAGGCTGGTGCCATAGTAGCTTAACGTAGCATTTGTAGTGGATAGCAATAACATTTTTAATACATCTGCCAGAATTTGACCATGATTCAAAAGGAACTTGAGCATCTTAGGCGTATCTTATAGGTATCTTACAAAAGATCTTATAGGAGTCTTATTTTGTCTTATCTATCTTAAGTGTCTTATATAAGACATGGACTTGGCCTATTTAAGATGCATAAGACCTTTTGAGTCTTTTGAATCTTATAACCTATTATACATCTTATTAGACAGTTTGCGCAGAGCCACCAGAAGCCACCTGGTGGCATTTTGCCTGTGCGCTGCCCGGTGGCTCCGGTGGCTGTGCTGGCTTTAATCCGATAACCTATCTTGCTTCTTGCTGCCATGGAGCGACTCATCTTACAGTCCTCCATTGGGTTTTACTCATTGCTCCAGGATGTTCTGGAGCAGCAAGATCAGGAATGGATTGCCAGGGAAGGACGCTTCCGCCCTGGTGGTCGGATCAGTCTAGATGATCTCGGAGACGATATCTGGGTAGAACAATTTCGGTGAATCTCTATTTAAGTCATCAACACATCCCACTGTAACATCTTGATCTCATACAGATTCCGCCGCCATGAGATATACCTGCTCTCTGATATCCTCGATCTCCCACCTGTCATTGTCTGCAGTCAGTCCCGTGTCAAGGAGGACTCCGCCTCAGCACTCTGCATGCTTCTCTGTCGCCTTGTCCACGTTTCACGCCTGGTTGATGTGGAGATGCAGTTTGGCTGGGAAAGGTCACGATTTTCGCGCATCACTCGGACAACAGCTTCATTAATCTGGAACCGCTGGAAGCACCTCTTGCGCTTCGATCCCCACCGATTGACCCCCGAGAAGCTGACTTATTTTGCGACGGTCATGCAGCAACGCGGAGCACCCCTTGACTGTGTTTCTGCTGTCATTGATGGGACGCTTCGCAAGATTGCACGCCCAATCACTAATCAGCGACTGGTCTTCAATGGCTGGAAGAGAATACACTGCCTCAAATACCACTCCCTCATCACTCCCGATGGCATTGTTATCCACATTTATGGCCCGGTTGAAGGCAGGCGGCACGACGAGACGGTTTACCAGCAGAGCGGCCTGAGTGCCCTCCTCGAGAAACATTTTGTTAAACCGGATGGCAGCCCACTGTTCATCTATGGTGATCCGGCCTACACTGTCGCAGGCCGCGTCCTTGCCGGCTATAAGGGTGCAGCTCTCAGCCCGGAGCAAATTCAATTCAACACCTTGATGAGCCGCTGCCGAGAGCCAGTTGAATGGAGTTTTAAGGAGGTGGTCCAACAATTTCCGTTCTTGGACTTCTCCTGAAATCATAAGGTACTCCTCTCTCCTTGTGGGCTTTGGTATCTGGTGGCCATACTCCTCGGAAATGCACACACCATCCTTCACCATCCACAAATTCCACAATATTTTCAATGCCCACCGCCGACCCTTGAAGAATATTTCACAGGTGGGCCAGTCGATGATGCGGAGCTTGATGCATGGTGCCTAGATAGTCCATGGGTTCAAAGAGATGAGCAGCAAGATGATACAGATTCAGATTCAGATGTGTAGAAATAAGCAATATACATGAAAAGCTAGTCGGCACTCTTCTTCATCATCGCCATGAGCATCATATTTGTCCGCTCTGCATCTGCAAGGCGACGCTCGGTCTCCTCCTGGCGCCTTTGAATCTCATCCTCGGCATTCCTGCGCTGCATATCTAGCATCTGAGCCTGCGCCCGTGCAAGCATGTCCATCCCGCCAGCGACCTTCTCCTGCAGCGCGAGACTCTTCTCCTGATACTTGAGATTCTGCTTGTGGCGTCTTTCATCGACTGCTTGTGCATCTTTCAGGAGCTTGGTGTCGTGCTCGACGCGATTGTCAAGCATTTCCATGAGTTGGTTACGGCGGCGGCGCTTCGGTGCCACAGAGCGATCGCAATCATTGCCTGAGCCAGCAGAGTTGTTCTCCTTGTCTGAATCGTCATCTGCGGCATGGCGCCGTCTATACCAGCATCGTCAGCCATATGTTTACGAAAGCTGAAATACCAGTCACTCACTTGAGTGCGCGGCGCTGTCCCTGTTTCTCCCGAATCGTTGACCCTTCTAGCTTTGCGACATCTGTTAAGCCACTCCCCCGGACAAGTCCACGCATCGCAGCATCACGCATCTCCTTCCCGCCGACATCTTCAACAGCAGCCTTGGTCCGCGCAGCACTCGTTTTTTTCACCTTTGATGTTTGTTGTCCATCGAGGAAATCGACTATGTCGTCAAGAAGCTACGTTGAATGAGTGGGGAGATGGCTCATGGAGAGCGCAACAATAACGCACCTTGACATGCTCATCCACATCCTCCACCGCTCCGGTAAGTTGCTTTGCCCTTGTCTGCTGTTTCTGGAGGCATATTAGCACCGAAAAAAAGCCCGAATGAACGGACGCACCCTGTGTGCCTTGAGGATGAGCCGGAATCGTCCTCTGCAAGCCTCACTCGTCCGATTCACCGCTGTCCCGTTTGCTGTCGTTGCTGTGAACAGCTCCACCGCCACGCGTTGCCAAGCTTGAGCGGTATCGTCACCACGGTCGGCCTCGAAAGGCCGGACAACGTCGATGGACTGGACAAGTGCCCTGTCCTGCCATGGGAGCCATCGAGGCGAGCGAGCGTTGCTCACAGCTGTTGTCGGCACCCCTCTGTCGGATGACAATTGCTCGTCGTCATCCTCTGACCCAGACATCCCTTCGGCCTCAGCCTCTGGGCTGGACTCGCGCGAGCCACTATCGGACGGGACAAAAGGTGATAAGCGCTCCTCGTCCGGAGTGGGAAATCCGCCGCTGGGGATGTCCCAGTCAGGGCTATGGCGTGCTGGCGGGGTGATGACAGGTGGGTCTAATGACGCCTCCATTGTCGGTTTGGTGGCGGTGCGCCGATTTCGCGGGCTGGTGGGTGGTGTGTGTGGTGTTGGGGGGCTTGCAACGCCCGCTGCGCGTCTCTGTTTGCATGTCTGTATGGGCATATGGTGGTCGGTGGAAGAGAATGGGTTGATGATGTCATGGCATCATCTGATTAATTTGGCGAAGAGCCACCGGCTCCACCGGGCAGCGCACAGCCAAAATGCCACCAGGTGGGTCCTGGTGGCTCTGCGCAAACAGGCTATTTCAGTCTTTTTTGTCTTAGAAAAGTTGGGTAAGATGCATAAGCTGTTTTGTCATTTTCCTGATGTACCACCCCGACACGATGACGTGGCGCACGGTGGACGCAAGGAATTCCGCAGAGCGCACACTGCTCAGTAAAGCGAAGTCGGCGGAGGTGTCGCCCTCGTGAAACGATAGTGTCCGGTACAACAGTGGCTCGATCCTGCCCAATGTTGGTGTTAATCGATAAGGTCCCGGATCTACCGGGATCTTCAAACTGAGTGTGTACCATATGAACACTCTACGCGCAAGAAACAGTAGGCGGTACCGCATCTCCGGGTGCAAATGCGCTGTTGTTTCAAAAATCTCGCGTTCCAGTTCTGGGGGCAGTCGAGGATCTTCGTCAGTTGTCATAGAAGAGAGGAAGAAGGCGGCAGCTGACATATGCCAGTGATGAATGCCAGTGATGGCACGTGAAGCAAGCATCCTCAATGGATTACTTATTGAGATTCTGTGTATATATACATGACTAAAACTAAAGCAATACTTACTCACTGGCTGAGCAAATGTTCCATGAGGCAGGGCAAGTATGGTCTTTAAATTGGCCACAAGATTGGAACATGTCTTAAGATAGATTAAGTGTGTATGTATAGTTGAGCACTTGTGTTTAAAGCCTAAACATGTTCAGCCACCAGACTGAGATAAGCAACAAAAATTTTGAAGCATACAAGCACCGCTACTAGTTATATCCTTGGTACAGCCCGACTTACACAGCACTAGGTCCAGTCCATTGCCCCCGAATCATTCGCAATTTCTATGTGCTTAAAATCGCGTGGGACGGTAAAGTTTGTTGCTGTGTGTGCGTGCCACATCAGTCAACAAGAAGATGAATCAGATGGGAGAAACATACCCAGGATGAGCCCTTTCCTCTTCTTTGCGATGAACTCGTCTGCGACGTCCCAAAACGTGTCGCTGTCAAAGGCGCCCTCTGCCCAGGTCTCCTCCGGGTACCCATGCAACCATGGTTTACGGTGGGTCAGAACAAGGCGCATCTCCAACAAATCGCCGGGAAGAGCCATCTGGACATCGAAGACAACGAGCGCTTGGAGGTGCTTACAGCCACTATCAAGCGAAAGCAGGCGTTCAAGTGTTGGCCAGTGTGTTCCGGATGTCGGCGACAAATGAGTGAGTGCGGGGAGGGAGCGGTAGAGTTGCTCGAAGGCCGGATTGAAGGAGTCGAACAAGTCGAGATGGGTGAGCTGCGAGAAGACAGGGAGGGTCGCTGCCGACACCAGCGACGACAGAAAAGGAAATACCGCTGCAGAGTAGAAGACGAGCCGCCGGAGATTGTTCATGGCCAGAAATGCCGCCGCCGTCAACTGTGGGTGTTTCGTGTGGTCATGACCTAGCGCAAGGTGTTCTGCGCTCGGCAAGGACCGCAGAATATCTGCAGGGTCGTCATTTGCCCAGCCCGAGATGATGATGTGGCGGACATGACGAGCTAAGAACTCGGGGGTTTTGAGCTCGATCTTTGCAGAGTTCGAGCGCTCGTGGAAGGTAAGCGTTCTGTACAGCATGGGCTCGATCCTGTGGATTGAAGCTTTCAGTCGGCAACACAACATGGGGGCGACATTACCAGACGAGAACGCGGCGCGCAACCAGGAGAAGCGGGAAACATACACTGGGCCACGTTCGGGCGGCGAGCTCGAAGATCTCCCGTTCAAGTTCCGGAGGGAGACACGATCCCGTTTCCATCGCAGATGGTGGTCAAAAACCAAGCCGGTCACACAGAGTCACGAGCTGTCAAGTGTCATTCCCCTTGTCTTCCTCCATCATCATCTTCATCCCAGCCTTGCCCGGGATTTCACGAACCTGCCGAGTCAGTGCCGACTGGATACTAGAAGACCAGTCACGGTGCCAGTGTCCCCGAATACAGCCCCCCCCTTGTAACTCGCCGAGAAAGACTTCAAGCAAATACTAACTGGCACATTACAGTTTAACTTTCTTTCGCGCCTCCCTATCGTTATCTAATGCTATCTATGCTATCTATGCTTATCTTCTTCGTGCTCGGTGCGTTATCAACTTCACATCTAGGAACGCTTTATATTCAACGAGGTAGTTAATCAACAGGTCTCTCTGCCTGCCAACAACGCAAGCCAAGCGGAACATGCGGCGCGGTAGGACCACTTTGCGCCCAGGCACCTCGGCCATCGCGTACGAACGACAACGTAAACCAGACCGTTGTCAGTGGTCCATCACACCACCCCGACCGCCACCCCGCACTAGATCCCCGTCACTTGCAACTCTATTAAAGTAGATCCCGGCCAAAGTCCAATGCCCCGCTCTCGACCCAACCCAGCATGCCGCCCGCCCACTCCGCGACACAAGGGCAAAAGCTCGTCTACCGTGATCAGATCCTCCCGTACCAGCGCCCCGCCTGGCTGGCGCGGATTGAGCGGTTCCGCCACACCAAGCTGCAGTGGTTCAGCGAATGCTTTGCGGAGGCTGTGAGCATCCGTCTCTCTCTTCCCCAATAACGTTGCTCACCGTGCTCCTTTTAGCTGGGCGTTTTCTTTTAGTACGTTTTCCGGAGATTCAATGCAACGGCGTTCAGGTGAACTATATATATAGCTGCTACTGTGGGGGGAGCTCGCAGGCGCTGTTCGTGTTCACCGGCATCGCGAAGCTGGAGGGACTCTCTTGTGCGTCTGTTCCCTCCTTAACTTCAGCTATGAGCTGATATCGGTGACCCAGCGCTCTTCCAACTGGGCTGGGGCTATGCGATCGGCATCCTCCTAGCCTTGGTCATATGTGGTCCAATATCTGGTGGACACATCAACCCTGCAGTGACGATTTGCCACATGCTCTTCCGCAAATTCCCAATGATTCGGGGAATTCGGTGGGTCTTTCGTCTTCGACGTGTTGCAAGGAGCGCATCTCACCAAGTTTCAGCTACATCGTAGCCCAAATCGTGGGTGGATACATCGGTTTCCTCTTCGTCTATTTGCAGTACAAACACACGATCCTGGCGATCGAAGCCACAATTCCTCCAGACACGATGAAGAAGATCCTATTCACTCCGAGCGGACCCGCGGGCGCCTTCGGAGACTACCTGCAGCCCAACGCGAGTGTCGGGCTCGCATTCGTGAATGAATTCATGGTTGTGCGTTGCATTTCGGAGTCCTTTCTGTCCGGCTCAAGCTTCGCAGACTTTCATCATTGGCATAGTCCTTTGGGGCGTCGACGATCCGGCCAGCGTCCATCTCCCGCCTGCATTTCAAGCACCCGTCGTTGCCCTCACATACGCCGTCACCACATGGGGCTTCGCGGCCAACGGCTTAGCTGCGAATACCGCGCGTGACCTCGGCGGCCGGTTCTTAGCGTGGACGATCTGGGGCAGCGCAGGTGGGTCCATCTATTGACGCGAGCGAACCGCCGCTGAGGATGAAAAGCGACTGGCCCGAGCAAAGGCTACGCGGCCATCTCCGCACTCACGAACATCCCTGCGACCATCCTCGCTTACCTCGTCTACGAAATCTTCTTCGTCGACTCCGATCGCGGTGGGTCCTTCCATTGTGTTGTCGCAACGCCGTGTTGACATGTCCTCGTAGTGATACCCGAATTCCGGCGCGAGTATTACGACCTCAAGACGTTCCATCGCCGCAAGTACGCTGCGGTCTATGGACAGCCGCCGGAGGCCTCAGACGACAGTGTGTCGGGTGGTGAGAAGCTGAAGGAACTCGTTGGAACCCTTGACCGCGTCTAAGTCAACCACAATTATTCTGTTTTCATGTCACAAGGCGCGGATCGAAATCGGTCGTTATATAAGAAAGAAAGTGGTCGGCAGTAAATAAACAATATCTCCCCCAATTTTCGACCATTTGCCTTGCAAGTGAGTGCGTTCGAATCGTCTCGTCAATATCACATGCACAATTCGAGTCGCTAGAGCTATTGCACGACATGCAGCGCGTCATGGCGTGTTTTAAACTCTTCCAATGCAGTCCTTGGATCCATATCGTCCGCGGCCTCGGTGCCAATCATCTCCCGCAGATAGCGCAGATATGTTGACGGCAGGGTTTCGTCTGTCAGCACTTTCTTTGCCCACCACATCGACCTGCTCCGCGACACGCCGGTGGCCCGCGGCACTACTTTGCTCGGGACCCAGACCGAGTTCGTCCCGACCGCCGCCGTGGGGCAGAGCCACTCATAGAAGAGCTGGACGGCGACGCGCACGAGGGTGGGGCAGACAGCGCTCCACCGCCGGACGATGGCGAATTCCTCCTCGGCTTCCGCGTCGAAGGACTCGGTGGTGCGCGACTCGTCGTAGAATCTGCGGACCGAGTCGAATTCGTGCAGACGGATGGTGGTGAGCGCCGTTAAAGCGGGGAGCGCGCTCGTGACACTGGCATAGAACGTCTAAACAGTCGGGGGTCAAAAAGGAGGGAGTGGCCCAGAGCAGGTACGCACCACGCGTTCATCGGGGACGGCTGGTGCATTGACGACCATGGTGAACACCTGGATATTGGGCAGATGGGTGGCCGCTGCGGCCGCGATGAAGGTGCTGTAACGCGGGACCGTGTTTCTGATGACAGAAACCTCGACAGCGGCACGTGCGGCAGCGGCAAAGACAGTTTGGACGCTCTCGGCGGTGAAAGAGCTCGCAGGCCACAGAATGTGTGGCCGCTCGACGCGCGCGTGCGGGAGGAGCATGACCGCAAAAGAAGGCGGCCCGTTGAACTTGTTCAGAAGGGGGAGCCGGAGAGTGGGAGGGATTTCGATATCGCTCTGCGGAGTGCGGCTCGGAGGGTAGGACACCACCAGACTCGAAATGTGAGGATGTTCTTCGAGGAAGTCCACGATTGGGGGAGTCGGACTGCCCGGCAGGTCGCACATCTGGAGCAGCGGGAAGTGCAAGTCGGAGGAAGACACAAGACATGCGAATAGCGGTGGGGGTGGAGAAATGTAAGCCGATACATGGAGCTTGGCGAATCCCTGGAGGAGAGGCTCCAGTTGCCAACCGCTGGCGACTCGCATGAGCGACACAAGCGCGCGGAGGAAGACAGAGGCGCACATGAGCATTATGTTGACGTGTTCCGCCAGCATCGGACTCCCTTCCAGCGTGCGGAGGCATCTGGGCGGAGGTCGTCCACCGTAATGCAGCGGTACAGAGCGCGGGCGCACCGGCGGCTCAAGTGGCGGTCCGTGCGGATGAACGCGGCCAGGTCCCGTCGACGCAGCCCGGCGCAGATGGCGTCAATAAGTTCGGCGGGTAGACCACCCAGCTTGGCCATCGGTGCAAGAGGAAAAAAAGAATGATGACAGCTGTCAGTTAGTCATCATTTCGATCCCCCATGCACACGTTTTTTTTCGACAACCAAAACTACTTACATGCATGATGGGAGGCCTCTCCGATCGAGAATATTGCAACTGTTGCCCGTTTTCCAGAGAAGAAATGTATTTATAGTTCAAGGCATCATGATTGCCTTAGCAACCCGATGGTGGAACTATGGCGCGCACAGAATATTATTGACAAGGCAGCGTCAGGCCGCGAATCGCACCCTCGACCACCAAAGTCATCCGCGGGCTGGTTCCTGGAGATAATCGAGCACTACCATTACTCTGTAAGTTCTGTTGAAGAAACTAGACAAAATATTCGATGTTTATTAGAGTAGGACTACCAAGTATTTATACTACTCTCTTTATTCTAGTATATTCTGTATTCTGAGTCAATAGAAAGTGGGAGAACATTCCCGACGCGCCGAGCGTCGGTGATGGCGCAGCCGCTGACGTCATCTCTCGGCGATGACTCGGGTTCGCCAACCCGCTTACTTCAACACTCCCCCTCGAACACGAGTCGAGCCGTGCTTTCGCAAGCATGGTGCGCAGTGGAATACCTCGCCTGGGTTAGAGGCTTTCTTGTGGTGTTGTAGACTCCCCCTTTCTCCATGCAGTCTCTGATGCTGACTGTAAATCCCAGTGTCTGTTGCCCATGTGCCGTTTGCTGCTTGGCCGTTCCTATGGTCCTTCCTGGCCGCCCTCGGCGCCAGCGTCAACCCGGAGTCCATGCCGTGCCCATACCAAATCCGTTGCCGCGGCCCATAAGCCCTCGGTGTCCATGTCCGTGTCCGCGAGTACATTCCCATGTCGTGTCGGTAGCCTCCGGCCCGGTTCCAGTTCAAGTCCATCCAATTCCGAGTCCGACTGTGATCCAGCCCATCGTGGCGATCCCTTTCGTGACTCTGTTCCATTCCATTCCAGGTCCCAACCAACTGATCCAGCCCATTGGCGATCCCATGGCGGTAACCCATCCCAAGCCAAGTCCATGCCGCTCCGGCGCGCGCCGGCCGTGAGCCCGAAGCTGTGTCGATGACCGATCTGTGCTGACCATGCTCATCTGTCCGTGTGCTGGCGATGCTGAGCCATCTGCCATCCGTGATCGAGTGTCCGGTACGTGTCGTTCCCTTCGCCGCTCTTTCCCGCGCTGCTCTGCCAGCCCATTGCCGTAGAGGGATCACATCCCAAAAGGCTGCTCCGCGGAGCCGTCCCATCGCGTGGTCGCTGTGTGTCGGAGGAGGGTGGTGCAGGGGATAATAAGTGGTGTCGCTACTGTGGGGTGCTTGGCCAATGTGAGGTGCCGGGGCCCATAACCTGTTGAAGAAACTAGACAAAATATTCGATGTTTATTAGAGTAGGACTACCAAGTATTTATACTACTCTCTTTATTCTAGTATATTCTGTATTCTGAGTCAATAGAAAGTGGGAGAACATTCCCGACGCGCCGAGCGTCGGTGATGGCGCAGCCGCTGACGTCATCTCTCGGCGATGACTCGGGTTCGCCAACCCGCTTACTTCAACAAGTTCGTGACAGATGGTCCCGTGAGCGTGACGCTCCTTCTTCTTGTCATCATCACGCTCAAAACTCGCGGGGACATCGCGGCGACACAATGATGACATCGCAGCGTCGCAAGTTTCAAGGGACGATCCTCTATGGTGCTCCTCCGTATCAGTGATTGCGGAGGCAGATATCGATACGTACCTAGTGCCGCCATGGCAACGCCGCTCCCTCGACGCATACAACTAGGAGTGGCGCTCGCGGAGATGTTTCGATGCCCCCCAGGCGCCGACCTGCTGTCAACTCCCGCACGCACACACGCTACACTGCCACGCCGCTGACACCGCAGGAATCTGGCCTGCGGATTCAATGAGGAAGCGTCAAGCCCATTCCGCGCTATATATACTCGATCTCCAGGACGGGGGTCGTCGTTGGTTCGTCCTTCCCTTCACCCTCCCCTCCCCTTCTCGCCGCCAGGCCGGCTTTTCTTTTCCTTCTCCTTCTCTCTTGCGCTGGGTCGCACTTTTCTTCTCCTCATCCACCCGTACCGACCTAACGATGCGCTTCCCGACCAGCTTCCTGCTCACGCTCCTCCTCGCGCTGCCCGCCTTCGGCACCCTCGAGCCGCCTGCCAATGCCGCCGCGGACGACGCCGAGCTGATGGTGCGCGTGGTTCTTCCTGGCTGTGTCTTTTGCTTACATCAAGGTTGTCCGTAGGCGCTCGAGGCGCGTGCGGCGCGCAAGGCCGCGAAGCCCAAGGCCCTGCCGAAGCTGAAACCGGTCGTCAAAGCGAAGCCGAAGCCCGCGGCCAAACCTAAGCCGAAGCCCGCGGCCAAGCCTAAGCCGGTGGCCAAACCGAAGCCAGCGGCCAAACCGAAGCCGGTTGCGAAGCCGAAGCCCGCCGCGAAGCCCGTACGTGCCTTGACTGCGGCTCAGTTTTCGGACGGGGACTGACTGCGATGTAGGCTGCGCCGAAGAAGCCCGTTGCGGCCCCGGCGAAGAAGCCGGTGCGTAGTTTATACACCTCATTCATCCCGACTCACCTAGACCGGCACGTAGGCAACGAAAGCCCCGGCCAAGAAGCCCGCAGCGGCGCCGAAGAAGGCACCGGCGAAAGCACCAGCCAAGAAAGCACCAGCAAAGGCTCCGACGAAGGCGCCAGTGAAGGCTCCGGCAAAGGCTCCCGCGAAAGCTCCGGCGAAGGCTCCAACGAAGGCACCAACGAAAGCCCCAGTGAAAGCCCCAGCCAAGAAAGCACCAACGAAAGCGCCAGCGAAAGCTCCAGCCAAGGCACCCGCGAAAGCCCCAGCGAAGGCTCCAGCTAAGGCACCCGCAAAAGCTCCGGCAAAAGCTCCAGCAAAGGCTCCAGCAAAAGCTCCAGCAAAGGCACCTGCGAAGAAGGCACCCGCCAAAGCACCTGCCAAAGCCCCGGCAAAGGCCCCAGCCAAAGCGCCTGCGAAAGCGCCAGCTTCGAAAGCTCCGACGAAGGCCACCTCCGCGAAGGGCAAGCCATCCGCCAGCGCCGCCCCCAAGAAGACCTGCTCGCAGACCCAGATCGACAAGGAGCTCGAGGCGCGCTACGCCGAGTTCGCGCCGAACCGGCACGAGGCGCGCGCGGGCGTGTCGCACCCGAGCGCGAAGGGCCGCATCACGCTCTTCCACGGGACCAACTCGCGCAACGCCGCCTCGCTCGCGGGCGGCGTCAGTCTCGCCGCCACCTCGCCCGTCGGGGACTTCAACCGCCGGCCCGAGGTGCCCGGCGGGTTCTACCTCACCGACAGCCTCGTCGCCGCCGCGCAGTTCGCGTGCTTCGGCATCCCGCGGCAGTCGCCGACGAATGTGGACGTCTTCGGTAGGCTGTCTTCCATTTCTTCCCGGCCTGAGCTGAATCTGACACGGGGTGCAGAGTACACCTGGAACGGCGCCGGGGCCGGGGTGTTTGAGTTCCCGGGGCAGACCAAGGACTGGAACGACGTGCGTGTGTTGCAGTGCCTCCAGCAACCGCTGATTGACGAATTGGTGCAGTTCCAAGTGTACAACAGCAACGCGAACATCGACGTGGAGAACACCAGCAGCCCGTTCCGCGCCAAGGCCGTCGAGATCTACAAGAACGTGATGATCTCCGGGCCGATGAACGCCGCCGTCGGTGCGTGCGCCTTCGTTTCTTCCCATTCCGTCTATTGTGCTCATCGGGACACGCAGACGCGCTGCTGACCAACTCCTTCCAGCAGTACGCCGTCGTCAATCAGGACGCGGCGGCGCAGCGCCTCACGCAGGTCGCGCGCCACCAGAACATCATCTGCAAGAACGTCCCCAAGGCGAAGGCGCTGACGTCCGCGCTGTACACGAAGGGCCAGGGCGGGAACCCCAAGTTCCAGAAGCTCCTCACGAAGCTGCAGACGCCGAAGCTCGTGTCGACGTCACAGCAGTGCGTTATCCAGTAAGTAGACAATGTGCAGTGGTAATTATTGCGGGCCTGGGCATTTAATGAGAGATGACGTGCTGTTTACAAAATCCTTAACACTGTAAAATTGAGTCTTTCAATATAGCTGAAAATGATGCTTTTGGTAGACTTCCAGATAGCTGTCATGTTTCGGATCGGGCCGGGCCGCCCGCCCCACGCTCCTCAACCCCTCCAGGCACACATCCAATCTTATCCCTCATACTCTAGTTGTCAGGGGAACCTCCCTTTCCCCTCAGAGACGATTCTGATTCCGGTCCAATTCTGGTCTCGATTCTGCTCCGGCCCTCTATCTTGCCTGCACGATCACCAATCCATTAACGCCCTCCCAACAGTTGCTCTGGGACCTCGCCTGCAACACCGCCCAGGCCTTCTGTGCCCAACGGCAGCAGCTATGGACAAGCAGTATACAGTCAGCTACCTAGCAGGTGGACCCTCAGAGTTTCTTCTCTTTGGATTCTCCCCTACTAGGTCAGCTTCATTTGTATTCACTTACCAATGTTCATGCTTTAGATCCTCCCCTGCTAGGACCTTGATCTCAGGCCTCCGGGGTTGTCCTTACACTAGTGTATAAAAAGTTGTACCTATGCCATGCGCTAGGCTAATATCGTCTATTCTCTGGGTGTTAAGTGCCATGTCTATAAGATCATTTTTCATTATTTATTCCTCTTTGCTGAAACTGAGATGATTTTGTCATACTGAACCCTGGAACTGAGCGATATACACCTAACTGAGTGCTGAAACTGAAGTTTTGGAACACATCAAAACTGAACTGTCAGACTGACACTTGAATAACCGAAGCTGAACTTTGTAACACCCTGCTGAACCCCTAATAGCAGCTGACGTCTGAAATCAAAAAATGACTATAGTGATTATGCTGAAGTCCAGGGTCAAAATATTTTTCCATAACATATTCTAGGATCAAACATCACTAACCATCAATTTCCTGGATCATATGGCAAGGGCGGATCAAAATACCCTTTCAGGAAAGATTCCTAATTGGGAATGGTGAGTTACAATTTATTGGTAAGAAAGTTGTAAATGGAGAAAATGATTTGTATATGGATCAGGAACTTCTTTGAAGCTGTGACACATGTGGCAGAAATGACAATTATTGTTAATTATTGCTGTGACAGCATCCGAACGTTTCCGATCGTAGTACCGTTTATACTCGTCTTTGGCTTTAACACAAGTCGCAGGTCGCAACGTAGCGTCCGATATAGCGGGACATCTGTGACCACCAGTAGTTGCGCGAAACCAGCTCTAGGGTTTTGAACCGACCGGGCGTGTCCGGCGACTCGCGTGTCGTGGCAGAGCTCGATGATGCGCCTCCTTAGGTCCTTGTCTTTGGGGACTACGACCTTGCCGCGGAAGTACAAGAGATCGCCCGAGACGGCCCACTCGTCCGAACGTGATGAGCGGGGGCCCCGAACTTGACCTCGGACCTTCAAGAGTTGCCGGGCTGCAAGCGCGACGGGCTCCTCTAGGTCAGGCTCACCGGATAGCGCTTCCTTGATGTCGCGGACAAGTTCGGACCCGGCCCAGAGACAGTGACGGCCTCGAGCGCGAAACGTGGAAAAGCTCAGGGCGCAAGAGGGTGACGTCCGAGTTGTCTTCGGAGATGCCGTGGTCAGGCCGGGCGGGAGAGAGCATCGGGGCGGCCCATCTGGCGACCTGAGACGTGGTGCAGCGTGAAGTCAAACCTAGAAAGGTACAACGACCATCGGGCTTGCCGACGGTTAAGGTGCTGTGCCTTTCGGAAATACTCCAAATTCTTAGGGTCAGTCCAGATCTCGACCGGATGCGCGGCGCCCTCGAGGAAATGCCGATACTCCTCGAGTGCGCGGATGATCGCGAGCATCTCCTTGTCGTGAATCACGTAGTTGCGCTGGACATCATTTAAGCTTTTGGAATAGAACGCTACAGGGTGCCACTTCCCGTCCGGGGCGGATTGTTGTGAAAGAACCGCCCCGTCGCATAATCTGAGCTGTCTGCTTCAAGTCGGAAAGGTCGAGAGTCGTCCGGGATCGCTAAGACGGGCTCTGAGACGACCGCGTCTTTGATAGCTTGAAAGGCGGCGGCTTCGGCGTCTCCCCAGGTCCATTTCTGGTCTTTCTTGGTGAGCGAAGAGGGGGTTGCGCTAGGGCCGAGAAATCCCGAATGAACCTGCGGTAGAAATTAGCAAACCCCAGGAACTGCTGGACGTCCTTCTTGTTCTCGGGCGGAGGCCATGCGGACACTCCGGCAACCTTAACGGGATCCATTTCGACGTGGTTGTGAGAGATGATAACCCCCAGGTACTCGATTGACGATTTCTCGAAGTCGCACTTCTCCTTGCGAAGGTACAGCTTGTGCATTCGGAGTCGCCGAAGGACTTCGCGGACGATCTCGCGGTGCTTACGGAGGTCCGAATGCGCGATAAGGATATCGTCGAGGTAGATCATGACGTCTCCTGAGAGAATGAGATCCTGGAAAATGTCATTCATCATCGTTTGGAAAGTCGCGGGGGAGTTCGTCAGGCCAAAATACATCACCAAAGGTTCGAACAACCCTCGGTTGGTCCGAAAGGTAAGAACTCGGGGGTTTTGAGCTCGATCTTTGCAGAGTTCGAGCGCTCGTGGAAGGTAAGCGTTCTGTACAGCATGGGCTCGATCCTGTGGATTGAAGCTTTCAGTCGGCAACACAACATGGGGGCGACATTACCAGACGAGAACGCGGCGCGCAACAAGGAGAAGCGGGAAACATACACTGGGCCACGTTCGGGCGGCGAGCTCGAAGATCTCCCGTTCAAGTTCCGGAGGGAGACACGATCCCGTTTCCATCGCAGATGGTGGTCAAAAGCCAAGCCGGTCACACAGAGTCACGAGCTGTCAAGTGTCATTCCCCTTGTCTTCCTCCATCATCTTCATCCCAGCCTCGCCCGGGATTTCACGAACCTGCCGAGTCAGTGCCGACTGGATACTAGAACACCAGTCGCGGTGCCAGTGTCCCCGAATACAGCCCCCCCTTGTAACTCGCCGAGAAAGACTTCAAGCAAATCCTAACTGGCACATTACAGTTTAACTTTCTTTCGCGCCTCCCTATCGTTATCTAATGCTATCTATGCTATCTATGCTTATCTTCTTCGTGCTCGGTGCGTTATCAACTTCACATCTAGGAACGCTTTATATTCAACGAGGTAGTTAATCAACAGGTCTCTCTGCCTGCCAACAACGCAAGCCAAGCGGAACATGCGGCGCGGTAGGACCACTTTGCGCCCAGGCACCTCGGCCATCGCGTACGAACGACAACGTAAACTAGACCGTTGTCAGCGGTCCCATCACACCACCCCGACCGCCACCCCGCACTAGATCCCCGTCACTTGCAACTCTATTAAAGTAGATCCCGGCCAAAGTCCAATGCCCCGCTCTCGACCCAACCCAGCATGCCGACCGCCCACTCCGCGACACAAGGGCAAAAGCTCGTCTACCGTGATCAGATCCTCCCGTACCAGCGCCCCGCCTGGCTGACGCGGATCGAGCGGTTCCGCCACGCCAAGCTGCAGTGGTTCAGCGAATGCTTTGCAGAAGCTGTGAGAATTCGTCTCTCTCTTCCCCAATAACGTTGCTCACCGTGCTCCTTTTAGCTGGGCGTTTTCTTTTAGTACGTTTTCCGGAGATTCAATGCAACGGCGTTCAGGTGAACTATATATATAGCTGCTACTGTGGGGGGAGCTCGCAGGCGCTGTTCGTGTTCACCGGCATCGCGAAGCTGGAGGGACTCTCTTGTGCGTCTGTTCCCTCCTTGACTTCAGCTATGAGCTGATATCGGTGACCCAGCGCTCTTCCAACTGGGCTGGGGCTATGCGATCGGCATCCTCCTAGCCTTGGTCATATGTGGTCCAATATCTGGTGGACACATCAACCCTGCAGTGACGATTTGCCACATGCTCTTCCGCAAATTCCCAATCATTCGGGGAATTCGGTGGGCCTTTCGTTTCCAACGTGTTGCAGGGACCGCATCTCACAAAGTGTCAGCTACATCGTAGCCCAAATCGTGGGTGGATACATCGGTTTCCTCTTCGTCTATTTGCAGTACAAACACACGATCCTGGCGATCGAAGCCACGATTCCGCCGGACACGATGAAGAAGATCCTATTCACTCCGAGCGGACCTGCGGGCGCCTTCGGAGACTACCTGCAGCCCAACGCGAGTGTCGGGCTCGCATTCGTGAATGAATTCATGGTTGTGCGTTGCATTTCGGAGTCCTTTCCGTCCATTTCAAGCTTCCCAGACTTTCATCATCGGCATAGTCCTCTGGGGCGTCGACGATCCGGCCAGCGTCCATCTCCCGCCCGCCTTCCAAGCACCCGTCGTTGCGCTCACATACGCCGTTACCACATGGGGCTTTGCGGCCAACGGCTTAGCTGCGAATACCGCGCGTGACCTCGGCGGGCGGTTCTTAGCGTGGACGATCTGGGGCAGCGCAGGTGGGTCCATCTATTGACGCGAGCGAACCGCCGCTGAGTATGAGCAGCGACTGGCCCGAGCAAAGGCTACGCGGCCATCTCCGCACTCACGAATATCCCTGCGACTATCCTCGCTTACCTCGTCTACGAAATCTTCTTCGTCGACTCCGATCGCGGTGGGTCCTTCCATTGTGTCGTCGCAACGCCGTGTTGACATGTCCTCGTAGTGATACCGGAATTCCGGCGCGAGTATTACGACCTCAAGACGTTCCATCGACGCAAGTACGCTGCGGTCTATGGACAGCCGCCGGAGGCCTCAGACGACAGTGTGTCGGGTGGTGAGAAGCTGAAGGAACTCGTTGGAACCCTTGACCGCGTCTAAGTCAACCACAATTATTCTGTTTTCATGTCACAAGGTGCGGATCGAAATCGGTCGTTATATAAGAAAAAAAAAGTAGTCGGCAGTAAATAAACAATATCTCCCCCAAATTTCGACCATTTGCCTTGCAAGTGAGTGCGTTCGAATCGTCTTTGAATTTGAGACGAAATATCACATGCACAATTCGAGTCGCTAGAGCTATTGCACGACATGCAGCGCGTCATGGCGTGTTTTAAACTCTTCCAATGCAGTCCTTGGATCCATATCGTCCGCGGCCTCGGTGCCAATCATCTCCCGCAGATAGCGCAGATATGTTGACGGCAGGGTTTCGTCTGTCAGCACTTTCTTCGCCCGTTGAACTTGTTCAGAAGGGGGAGCCGGAGAGTGGGAGGGATTTCGATATTGCTCTGCGGAGTGCGGCTCGGAGGGTAGGACACCACCAGACTCGAAATGTGAGGATGTTCTTCGAGGAAGTCCACGATTGGGGGAGTCGGACTGCCCGGCAGGTCGCACATCTGGAGCAGCAGCGGGAAGTGCAAGTCGGAGGAAGACACAATACATGCGAATAGCGCTGGGGGAATCAGCAGGTGGAGAAATGTAAGCCGATACATGTTGCGCAGAGCATTTGGCGAATTCCTGGAGGAGAGGCTCCAGTTGCCAACCGCTGGCGACTCGCATGAGCGACACAAGCGCGCGAAGGAAGACAGAGGCGCACATGAGCATGATGCGGACGTGTTCCGCCAGCGTCGGACTCCACCGTAATGCAGCGGTACAGAGCGCGGGCGCACCGGCGGCTCAAGTGGCGGTCCGTGCGGATGAACGCGGCCAGGTCCTCTCGACGCAGCCCAGCGCGGATGGCGTCAATAAGTTCGGCAGGTAGACCACCCAGCTTGGCCATCGCGGGAAGAGGAAAAAAAGAATGATGACAGCTGTCAGTTAGTCATCATTTCGATCCCCCATGCACACGTTTTTTTTCGACAACCGAAACTACTTACATGCATGATGGGAGGCCTCTCCGATCGAGAATATTGCAACTGTTGCCCGTTTTCCAGAGAAGAAATGTATTTATAGTTCAAGGCATCCGAGTCATGATTGCCTTAGCAACCCGATGGTGGAACTATGGCGCGCACAGAATATTATTGACAAGGCAGCGTCAGGCCGCGAATCGCACCCTCGACCACCAAAGTCATCCGCGGGCTGGTTCCTGGAGATAATCGAGCACTACCATTACTCTGTAAGTTCGTGACAGATGGTCCCGTGCCAGTGAGCGTGACGCTCCTTCTTCTTGTCATCATCACGCTCAAAACTCGCGGGGACATCGCGGCGACACAACGATGGAATCGCAGCGTCGCAAGTTTCAAGGGACGATCCTCTATGGTGCTGCGCCGTATCAGTGATTGCGGGGAGGCAGATACGTACTCAGTGCCGCCATGGCAACGCCGCTCCCTCGACGCATACAACTAGGAGTGGCGCTCGCGGAGATGTTTCGATGCCCCCCAGGCGCCGACCTGCTGTCAACTCCCGCACGCACACACGCTACACTGCCACGCCGCTGACACCGCAGGAATCTGGCCTGCGGATTCAATGAGGAAGCGTCAAGCCCATTCCGCGCTATATATACTCGATCTCCAGGACGGGGGTCGTCGTTGGTTCGTCCTTCCCTTCACTCCCCCTCCCCTTCTCGCCGCCAGGCCGGCTTTTCTTTTCCTTCTCCTTCTCTCTTGCGCTGGGTCGCACTTTTCTTCTCCTCATCCACCCGTACCGACCTAACGATGCGCTTCCCGACCAGCTTCCTGCTCACGCTCCTCCTGGCGCTGCCCGCCTTCGGCACCCTCGAGCCGCCTGCCAATGCCGCTGCGGACGACGCCGAGCTGATGGTGCGCCGCGGTTCTTCTTCGCTGTGTCTTTTGCTTACATCAAGGTTGTCCGTAGGCGCTCGAGGCGCGTGCGGCGCGCAAGGCCGCGAAGCCCAAGGCCCTGCCGAAGCCGAAACCGGTCGTCAAAGCGAAGCCGAAGCCCGCGGCCAAACCCAAGCCGAAGCCTGCGGCCAAGCCGAAGCCGGTGGCCAAACCGAAGCCAGCAGCCAAACCGAAGCCAGCGGCCAAACCGAAGCCAGCAGCCAAGCCGAAGCCGGTTGCGAAGCCGAAGCCCGCCGCGAAGCCCGTACGTGCCTTGACTGTGGCTCAGTTTTCGGACGGGGACTGACTGCGATGTAGGCTGCGCCGAAGAAGCCCGTTGCGGCCCCGGCGAAGAAGCCGGTGCGTAGTTTATACACCTCATTCATCCCGACTCACCTAGACCGGCACGTAGGCAACGAAAGCCCCGGCCAAGAAGCCCGCAGCGGCGCCGAAGAAGGCACCGGCGAAAGCACCGGCCAAGAAAGCACCAGCAAAGGCTCCGACGAAGGCGCCAGTGAAGGCTCCGGCAAAGGCTCCCGCGAAAGCTCCAGCAAAGGCTCCAACGAAGGCACCAACGAAAGCCCCGGTGAAAGCCCCAGCCAAGAAAGCACCAACGAAAGCTCCAGCGAAGGCTCCAGCCAAGGCACCCGCAAAAGCTCCGGCAAAGGCTCCAGCAAAGGCTCCAGCAAAAGCTCCAGCAAAGGCACCTGCGAAGAAGGCACCCGCCAAAGCACCTGCCAAAGCCCCGGCAAAGGCCCCAGCCAAAGCGCCTGCGAAAGCGCCAGCTTCGAAAGCTCCGACGAAGGCCACCTCCGCGAAGGGCAAGCCATCCGCCAGCGCCGCCCCCAAGAAGACCTGCTCGCAGACCCAAATCGACAAAGAGCTCGAGGCGCGCTACGCCGAGTTCGCGCCGAACCGGCACGAGGCGCGCGCGGGCGTGTCGCACCCGAGCGCGAAGGGCCGCATCACGCTCTTCCACGGGACCAACTCGCGCAACGCCGCCTCGCTCGCGGGCGGCGTCAGTCTGGCCGCCACCTCGCCGGTCGGGGACTTCAACCGCCGGCCCGAGGTGCCCGGCGGGTTCTACCTCACCGACAGCCTCGTCGCCGCCGCGCAGTTCGCATGCTTCGGCATCCCGCGGCAGTCGCCGACGAATGTGGACGTCTTCGGTGTGTTGTCTTCGATTTCTTCCCGGCCTGAGCTGATATGTGTTGCAGAGTACACCTGGAACGGCGCTGGGGCCGGGGTGTTTGAGTTCCCGGGGCAGACCAAGGACTGGAACGACGTGCGTGTGTTCACTGGCAGCCTTAGCAATTGACGAATTGGTGCAGTTCCAAGTGTACAACAGCAACGCGAATACCGACGTGGAGAACACCGGCAGCCCGTTCCGCGCCAAGGCCGTCGAGATCTACAAGAACGTGATGATCTCCGGGCCGATGAACGCCGCCGTCGGTGCGTCCGCGTTTTGATGCTTGGACTGCTGCTCATCGGGGACACGCAGACGCGCTGCTGACCAACTCCTTCCAGCAGTACGCCGTCGTCAATCAGGACGCGGCGACGCAGCGCCTCACGCAGGTCGCGCGCCACCAGAACATCATCTGCAAGAACGTCCCCAAGGCAAAGGCGCTGACGTCCGCGCTGTACACGAAGGGCCAGGGCGGGAACCCCAAGTTCCAGAAGCTCCTCACGAAGCTGCAGACGCCGAAGCTCGTGTCGACGTCCCAGCAGTGCGTTATCCAGTAAGTAGACAATGTCTGAGTGATATTATTGCGGGCCTGGGCATTTAATGAGAGATGATCTGCTGTTCACAAAATCCTTAACACTGTAAAATTGAGTCTTTCAATATAGCTGAAAATGATGCTTTTTGTTATACTTCCAGATAGCTGTCATGTTTCGGATCGGGCCGGGCCGCCCGCCCCACGCTCCTCAACCCCTCCAGGCGCACATCTAATCTTATCCCTAATACTCTAGTTGTCAGGGGAACCTCCCTTTTGGCTCCTCGGAGACGATTCTGATTCCGGTCCAATTCTAGTCTGGTCCGGCCCTCCATCTCACCTGCACAATCACTGATCCGTCAAACGCCCTCCCGACAGTCACCCTGGGACCTCGCCTGCGACACCGCCCAGGCCTTCTGTGCCTGACAGCGGCAGCTACGGACAAGCACTACCTAGCAGGCGGACCCCCAGAGTTTCTTCTCTTTGGATTCTCCCCTGCTAGGTCAGCTTCATTTGTATTCACTTACCAATGTTCACGCTTTAGATCCTCCCCTGCTAGGACCTTGATCTCAGGCCTCCAGGGTTGTCCTTACACTAGTGTATAAAAAGTCGTACCTATGCCATGTACTCGCTAGGCTAATATCGTCTATTCTCTGGGTGTTAAGTGCCATGTCGATAAGATCATTTTTCATTATTTATTCCTCTTTGCTGAAACTGAGATGATTTTGTCATACTGAACCCTGGAACTGAGCGATATACACCTAACTGAGTGCTGAAACTGAAGTTTTGGAACACATCAAAACTGAACTGTCAGACTGACACTTGAATAACCGAAGCTGAACTTTGTAACACCCTGCTGAACCCCTAATAGCAGCTGACATCTGAAATCAAAAAATGACTATAGTGATTATGCTGAAGTCCAGGGTCAAAATATTTTTCCATAACATATTCTAGGATCAAACATCACTAACCATCAATTTCCTGGATCATATGGCAAGGGCGGATCAAAATACCCTTTCAGGAAAGATTCCTAATTGGGAATGGTGAGTTACAATTTATTGGTAAGAAAGTTGTAAATGGAGAAAATGATTTGTATATGGATCAGGAAATTCTTTGAAGCTGTGACACATGTGGCAGAAATGACAATTATTGCTAATTATTGCTGTGACCAGTTCTAAAAAAAACCCCCAAAAATAATAATAATAGATAAAAATAGATAAAATTGGTGTGGCCTACAACAGGCAGGAAAAATTTAACTAAAAAATCAATGTAACCTTAACATGCACTTTTTATAGTCTATTTACTAGCTAGAGTCTTGATGTGCCTAGATATGCATTTCCTGAAAATACCTAACTCAATATATGTCAGACAAACCTTTCTATCTAATATGATCTTTATTTTTTAGATTCAAGTAATTGAGTATAGAAGTAAAAAGTTCAAAATAAAGTAGGATATAATACAGTAACATATGCTAATGCTTGAGACCAAAGGGCAATAATATTATCATCTCCAGGAAGGCCAATGAGTGGAGAAAATTGCTCATATAGAGCTGTTCTATTGCGGTCCTCCTCGCTACAATTGTGCTCTTATCGAGCATGATACTGAAGCGGCTGGCTTTCGAGGGCTTCATGCCATTCATGTTCGATTACTCATGAAGTTCACGTACCATGGCATTCAGTATCCCTGCGCCCTTGTCCATTGGTTTTCGGCCAATGGAGAGAGTCCATGTCTGGACACGGGTATGTGGGTGGTCAAGCCTGACTGAATCCGAGGGTCACAACGCAGTCAACCTGCGTTGGCGGTGGTTCATTTGGATGCTATTTTACAGTTGGTCCATTTGATTGGGGTTGCGGGGAAGGACTTTTTACCTCCAAACAACAGAGATTTGAGCTTTTCAGACTCCTTAGACGCGTTCAATGCATTTTATGTCAATAAGTACGCAGATTATCATTCACATGAAATTTTGTTTTAGCTAGCTTCCAAGTATACTACTAAGTTGTCATCCAAGTTCACTCAAGTTCAGTAGGGTCAATAAGTTGCAAAAGGTAATAAGTCCACAAAGTCACTCAAGTGGACCAAGGACCAAACCAAGTTTGAAAAAAGCTCTAAGGTAAAAACACCTGTGCAGCCCAGTACCCACTGTAAATTGTCGGGTCCACCCCGGCAGGTTGGACCAGACAATTCACGGGCACTTTTTTCCTCACCATAGTAATGAATAATTATTGAATAAAGGAATGAATAATTCTGAACATTTTCAGCTTTCTAAGAGCTTGGGTGCCTCCGAGTCAGGCTTATCACTTCTTATCAGTCCCACTATAGTATGAATAAAAATGAACAAAAAAACAATTAGACAAGTCTACTAGTACATGAGACTAGTCTATGAGTACCATAACAGAGAGTAGAAAGAAGTATATACTATGGTTTACTACTAGAAGCCAACCATATCCTAAGTATATGCAAGTAAGGTAGATGTAGGCAATGGTACAGTATTGGTAACTATTGTGCAGGAAAGCCAAATTTTCTCTAAGTAGTGTGTCTAGTGCAAGTCTAAGTAGTATTTCTGATAAGAGCAGCAAAATGGAAGTGGGAGAGCGTCCGAAATCAACAGGAATGGGGGTTGGAAGGAAAGACAGAAGCCAACAAGAACTGACCATGTGGCCAATTAGACGCGGCTACCTGGCGGCCCCCCTTTCTTGCCCTTGACCATATTCTTCTTTTTGACCGGCGCGGGCTTCGGAGCAGACTTTGCTTTAGCTGCTTTGCGCAGCTTTTCCTTTCCCTGGCTCATCTGTTTGAGGAGGCGTCGATAGGCCGAATCCGACTTGCGTTTCTTCTTGCGTGGCTCATCCTGCCGCTCGTCCTCTTCATCCTCTCGACGCTTGCGCTTCGTGCCAGATTGCGATTCTGGATGACTTGAGGGCAGCGCAGCTGCGTTGGTAGCAGCCGCACGAAGACGGGTGGAATGGCGCAACGTCACAGTTGTCTTGCTGTTGCTATCCGCCTTGCCCTTGCCCTTTTTGGTCCCCCCGATTTGTGCCCATTTTTCTTTCGTCGTCCCAGCTCATCCCCGCTCATTTGCTCTTCCGAGTCCTCATCGTCACTTGTAGCTCTCGATGGGCCTTTCTTCTTTTGCTGACCTCGTCGTCGACCCTTGTCAGAACGCGTCGCGCGAGATTGACCAGTCGGCATTGGGCGCTTCCCAGCTTTGGCCAGCTCAAGGTACTCCTCCTCGATCTGCTGTCGCTCATCCTCTGAGCTCACTGCCTTCCAATAACATTCCTTTTGACCGATCGCATTGGCCAAGAGTCGGAGCTGACTGACTTTCTTGATAGCGGAGGGCGACATCCAAGGGCAGCCATCCGGCCAGCCAAAGAGATGAACACCGAGGTTGTCGAGGATAGTATTCGGATAATTTTCGTAATTCATGCGGGCCTCCTTGCCCGAAGTACGTGCTATGGTCTTTGTTAGCCGATGAGTAGTTTGCATATATGATCAAGAAACACACACCTAGTCCGCTCTTGATGAATTTGAGACAATACTGTCGGAGTTGCGAAATGCTCATACGTTCAACGCCTAGTCGTGAATTAGTCGTTTGCACGTTGTTAATGCCATGGCACCACATTACCTTGACCCGACACCTTTACCCAGTCCATGTAGTCCAGCACAACCTCGGCTTCCGTCATTCCATGCCGCTCATACATATAGCGTGCGCCACCGGTGTCAATAATGGCGGGGGTCGTGAGGGTATTTCGATTGTCCAGTGGCGCAATAAGGGCGAACGAGATAGCGTGAGCTCGCTTTTTGAGATCTGACAACTGACACAGCCGTCAGATTCATCGACCGACCGGCGACCTTAAGTAAAGGCACATACCATTCCTGTAATCGAGTTTACTGCACCATGCATGTCCTTCGCCTCTCCAAGCGCCGTGCCGCGGGTCCCAGTTGACTTGACCTTTGCACGAGCTTCGTATTCAGCCAGAATTTCTTTTGTCTTTTCGGCCCCAAATTTGATCAGGTTTGGATTTGCTTTGACGCGTGCTTGAGCGGTGATGTAGGAGATAGGCGATTTGCCAGCAGCAACTCGCTCTGCAGGCCATTAGTTAGTGTAAGCCTACGTTGGCAATGAAAGACCTACCTGCATTCACAGCCCGGGTATAATATCCAAGCAAAGCACTTCGTTTTGACGTCGCCCGTTTTTTCTTCCACAAATGCGAGCTCCGAACTCGCCGTCCCCACCGCTCCTACACGCATATTGTACTTGTCGGCCAGTTTCTGAACGAGTTTTGCTTCTTTCTTTCGAATCCCCAGTTGAAATGCGGTGAGCTCTTCATTGAGACTACGAATTCGTCCTTTGTTGACACGTTGTTGTGCTCGATATCCAGGTCCCTTGAGGACCTTGGTGCGCTTGCGTGGGGGAATGACACGACCGACATTCTCAGGACCAGCTTTGTGGGGAGCTTTGAGCGGCCAGTCGGCCTCCTCGTCGCTGTCGCGGGGAAGAGACTTGCGACGCTTGTGTCGCGCTGGAGCTGACTGAGTCTCGGAAGTGTCGGACTCGCTGGAGCTGTCAGTAGTGATGGCCAGGTTCGGTTCGGGTTTTCGGTTCGAACCCGAACTTAACCGGACCGAACCGAGGTTCGGCGTTCGCGTTCGGCCAAAGGGGCTTTCGAACCGAACCGGAGCTTGGGTTCGGCCGGGTTCGGGCTTTTTTGGCCTAAAAAGGCCGGTTCGGGGCCGGTTCGAACCGGGGTTCAGCGTTCAGGTTCGCCGAATCCGGGTTTTGAACCGAACCGGCGGTCCGGGGTTCGGCCAAAATGGGCCAAGAACCAGACCGAACCGGACTTGGCCATCACTAGAGCCTGTCAGACTCGCTGGGGCTGTCGTTTTCCAACTCGGTATTGTTTGGGGGAGGGAATTGTGATGCGGGTAGTTCTGATTCTTCGTCTTCAGAGTAGTTGGGTTTGGGTGGGCCATGGCCTTCGTCGTCGTCGTCATGCTCGGCGCTATTGACGTCTTCCATGAATGTAG